TTAGGTTTTTTGAGTAAACTAACAAAACGATCCTTTTCATATTTATGGACAGTAACTGGAACCGACAGTAACTGAAACAGTCTTTACGCCATGCAGCGTTAATTCGGGGGGGGGGGGTATATTAATATATTTGTGTTCTGCCCGACGGATTTCTTTTGAAATCAGTTGTTTTTAATTTCATTTCAAAAGAAATCCGTCTGGCAGAACACGAACAAGGGTGGGTTGACTACAAAATTTTTGTAGTTCGCTATAACTACAGCTACTTCAAAAATATGTAGTCAGCTACAACTACTGCTACTTTTGAACAAAGGTAGTTCGCTACTGACTACAGCTACTGCTTAAAAAATGTAGCGAACTATTTCGCTATTTCGCTACACTATATTTTTTAGTTTACTGTATTTGGAGCATCTACTAACTCAGGCTAAAATGTAACCAATAACGAATCGACTTACGAGTAGCAACAGTAAACACAAAGCGTGCAAATTGACTATTGAGTATTGATTTTAAGCAAACCGTGTCTCAATATCGTGCTATATTCTATCAAGTTGCTAACAATTTTAAAAAGTAGCGAATAGCGATTCGCTGTTTGAAAAGTAGTCAACTACTTGGCTACTTTTAGGCAAAATGTAGTTCGCTATAACTACAGCTACTGTTTTAAAAAAGTAGTCAAAAACTACTGGCTACTTGAAAATTGTAGTTCGCTACAGTAGCGAACTACAACTACTTCGCTACTACCCACCCTTGAACACGAATATATGAATATACCCCCCAATTAACGTTCTAGTTACGCCACTGGCAATACGATACTATGGCTATATCTACAATAGCTTAATTTTTAATCATTGTCAATTTTTCATTCCACTATTGCCCTTGTAAATTTAATAAGAAGATAACCTACTTGTAAACTCTTTCCTTAACAACTGCACTTGAAGCAGCCGCAGGAAATGCAACCCGTTTTTCTCCCAGGCCATTTCGGAGAAGGGTTAACTTTTCCCTCGTGGATGGTGTCGACTCACTATGTTTTTCTGCCAAGCAGAATAATGTTTTTGTAACAGATCTTTCTATATCAAAAGATGTTTGACTTGAATTAATGAATTACTTCAAAAATAAAAATCACGTCCGCATCAAAGGCTTCATATCAGATATAGATTACTTAACTGCACCGCTTGTGTATGTGGTTGTACCAAAAATTAAATATTAGGAAAAGAATTAATATTAAAAGGTTTAATGCTCTTTACATGGTCACATTTTCAATGCTAACCTAAAGCAGACGTCTGAAGCACACGCTTCTTGGATTGGACGACATATGTTTGTTTAGTCAATGCCGCCCAGTATTAAAAGATAAATTTTCATAATATTGCCTCAAATTTTCATTTTCAACACAAACGTGTGATTTCTGTAACAATTGCTTGTTCAGAATACACAAATGTAATCCCAATCCCCACCCGAATCCAACCTAAATCTAACTGTAAATCAAACCCTGAATCTAACTCTGATTAAGCGCTACATTTTTTCATTTGAAACATTCGATATAGGCATAAGTATTAATTTAGCAACTAAGACATTCGACTCCCCTGTGTAGAAAGAGGCATAGGGAGACATAACCTACCCTTTGCTGCCCTTCTTCCATTTGATGATCTGTAGGGTTGAAGTCTCTATTAAAAATGAAACTGCCTGTGTTAAATCTAATACAATTCACAATATGCCTATGTTAAACCTAAATGGTTACTTTGCAAAATAAATAATTTATTATATAAATTTTACAATGTCTTAGACATACAAAAAACACTTACAGACTGCCTTGTAAACAATCTTCTATGTTCAGCAACAGCAGGCATTGTGTTTGAACTAAGCTGCCTTCCTGATGGAAGGTGATGATATATTAAAGGCTGCCTTGACATAGAAGAGTGATTAGAAGTAGACAGATGATTAGAAGTGGAAGGGTGATCAGAAGTAGAAGGATGGTTAGAAGCAGAAGGATGATTAGAAGTGGAAGTATGATTAGAAGTGGATGGATGATTAGGAGTGGATGGGTGATTAGAAGTGGAAGGATGATTAGAAGTGGAAGGATGATTAGAAGTGAATGGGTGATTAGAAGTGGATGGATGATTAGGAGTGGATGGGTGATTAGAAGTGGAAGGATGATTAGAAGTGGAAGGATGATTAGAAGTGAATGGGTGATTAGAAGTGGATGGGTGATTAGAAGTGGAAGGGTGATTAGAAGTGGAAGGGTGATTAGAGGTGGAATGGTGATTAGAGAAGAAAGGGTGATTGGGAGTTGTCGGTTGATCATAGGTTGAGGGCTGATTTGGGGTTGAGGGTTGATTCAAAGTTGACAGGTGAGTATTGAGTTGACCAATCAATTGCCTAAGCACACTATTCACATGGTTGTTGTTGTTGGTGGTGGTGGTGTTGTTGTTATTGCTCTGTAACAAAATTTTAAATATTAGATGGATTTCCTGCACATCAATCAACCTTAGGCTTCCCATGGAAGGTGATGATATGATTAATATTAACTTACCATTATGTATACTTTACAAGAAAACTTGATTGCAATTCTAAAAAAATAATTTGACTATTAAAAATACCTTCATGCAGTGACATACCTTTTTACTATATGCTATTTGTATTAAGGCTTTTGCATATCTTAGGGACCGGTCATTATTTATGGCAGGGGTGGGGGCCGAAGAGAAAGTATAATGAAGCCGGAAAAAATCATTACCCCACCTTTTTCGAAACAAAATTTCTAGCTACCCCACCGGTGGAATGCCAGAAAATTTTTTACCCCACCCAAACCTATTTTGTTGCAATGTCAAAGACAAAGGTTCAGAGATAAAATATGTAATAAAACAGTTTAGTATTTTGTATGCGTATTACTCATCAAGGTACAAAATTGCCCTTGATGAGTAAGATCATCTGCTGTTAGAGAGTAAATAATAATTATTATACGGTGCTTTGACCCAGTGGCCATTATAATTAAAAGGGAATAGGATTGATTGATAATACTTGTTTACCAATATCCCTTGCCCCTTATTTCTTGTGGAGTAATTAAAGCACACTAACAGTCATGCCTTATTATGGGTTACCCTTACAATAGCAAGGTACTATATAAAGAATTATAGTTATCTGAAGGCTTAAAATTTGTCTACTTGTAAAATTGAAATATGAATGGGTTTTTATAGTTTCTATTCAACGCTATATTCCCTTTTCACGAGATAGTGCAATGCTAGTCCCATATACATATATTAACCATGCACTGATATAAAACCTATTAAACCTGTACAGCATATATTTCAGTATTTTAGAACACTAACCGTATTTCAACACCCTATCTCTTTCCCACTTTAAAGTTTCACTGTATATAATTTGGTTTTTTCACATTCTTGCATTTCTTTATTAATTAAAATGCAATTTTATTTTGAAACAGTTTCACAAAATATGTGCTCACCCATGATTGTAACCTGAAGTTCAGGCCCTAATACCATGATTGCAACTATCTAAATTCTAAAATTTCCTCTGAAATTCCTTTAACATTTCCTTACTATAGACAATCACCAGAGGACAATCACATGTATTATCACGGAATTTTAAAGGAATTCCTTAAGAATTCCCAAGGAATTCTTGAAGTTTATGAAATCAATTTAATATTTTAATTTGTAAACAATACAACGATACTAAAGTATATGTCCCATGTGAGAATATCTGAATTTAGAAAATGATGTTACTGTAAATTAATGAGAAAGAGTTGCTGTTATATAGTGTGAAGATAAAGATATTCATCCGAATTCCAAGTATGATTATATAAACAATTAAATTAATTTGTAAAACGGGTAAATAGATTTCTCTCATTTTATTCATGTATACATGGTCTGCTAGTAAAGAAAAACAGCTAGTTGCCAAAGACTCAGAACAATGTTTGAGTTGAACATATTATGATCTAGCCATTGGAATGATTCTCCAGATCGATTCACAAGGGGCATGGGGCATATTTCATGATTTGCTACCTGAATTGTCCACATGGTTTACAAGCACATACTGGATATAAATATTAGTTATACAGTATCAAGTGTAGATGCCCAAAAATTAAATCCTGCAAATTTGGTAGACTTTACATATACTTTTTGAGATATGTAATAAGGGGATGTTTATATGGGGGCGAGGCTGGATGCCCGGGGTTAGGGGCTACAGACTTAAGGTCACTTTTCCTGAGGCAAGATCTCAGGATAAAGGGGTGGGATCTCGTTTAGCTATAGCTGGGCCCGCTCTTTACCCATATATACACAAGGTGAACTTTAGTAAGAAATAACAACAAAGGCAGGATCTCACCAAAACTGGGCCAGCTTGGGTACCCTGCGGTTGGCTTGCCCCTATATATAGGCAGTATATATTTTGTCTGGTAATTGGAGTCTTTGGAGATTTTGTGTGTAAATGAATATAAAAATGACCCTTTACGGGTGGGTTGAGGGGGTGTTTCTGTCAACATTTTGGAAAGCAATAATATTTTATTAAAAAATTAGAATAATCACATATTAAATTCTGATTGTAGTATATATTGTATTGTGTGTGATTAAAGTAAGGTTATTTTTGTTTACCCCACCTCTGCATGCAAGGATTTTTTGGCCACCCCACCTAAAGCAACTATTATTTTTCAGTTACCCCACCATTTTCTCTTCGGCCCCCACCCCTGCCATAAATAATGACCGGTCCCTTAGTATATAATTTCTTGTTTAGATAACGAACATTTTAGACGCCTACATACTACGCAAACAAACAAGCTATAGTCTTAAAATGAAGCTAAAAAAATGCTCCACAATATTCCCTTATTCTTGAAAAGAGAAAATGCACAAATTCTGCGAAAACATTGCCAATAATTATATAAACCTGCTCGTGAACGTGCCGAACAAATTTCGGCGGCCATCTTTCTTCTCTTCCACTTTCAATACAAAATATCCCATTTTCATCAAACAAAATAATTTTTTTTTTACTTGTTATTTAAATCTTCGTCTGAATCCTTCTATTGTTCAAACCGCTTAATAATGGAGGACGTGTGTATGTATGTATATATATATATATATATATATATATATATATATATATATATATATATATATATATATATATATATATATATATATATATATATATATATATATATATATATATATATGTATATGTACATAAATGTATCAATTTCATTAGCTAAACAATGTCATATGCTTTCCTAAATAAAAATGTCTTAATAAGTGTTTTAAACTGATTGAGGTTGATCACAGTACGTATTTCTCGGGGAAGTTCATTAAAAAGTTTTGGTGCCGCTGCGGTGAAAGCTCTATCTCCAAGAGTCTTCTTCGTTTTAGTTACACTCGGCGCAAGTAACAGTTCATTGTTTGATCCATAGTTAATAGAGGACAGGGTTTGGAAGGCCGGCAAACTTCAAAGGCTTTCGAGCTAATTGATTTCAGATGTTGGAAAGGTACGTCACGTGACATTTCGGGTGCATCAAATTCAGAAATTACTATAGCGTAGTATTACAGAAATATGATATTGTGCTTATAAATTTTAAAATAAGGCATTGTTGTTCTTGTTATGGCTTCGACAAGTTCGGCATACGATTCAGAAAGCAAAATTCACCCAATTCTGGGTGCTGGAGACGCAGATACAACGACGGAGGCGATTTTCATCAAACTATTTAGCTGCTGCAAATCAACGCGGATGAATTAACTGAAGAAATATCGCGTTCAGTTGAAGAAGTAAGTCCTTTATACTGTGTCCAATTAAACAATATGTAGTGAGATGCCTTAGACTTAATATTTGACTTATATTTGTCGTTTAGATTGAAGGATTAAAGCAATTCCCGTGCGAATATCGACGCAGTATTAAGCACTCGACAAATTCTACAGCTAGTACTGCCAATTAAGGGAAAATCAAAACCCATGTTATACAGGTGGGTGGCGAAAAAAACGCAACTCCTCGGAATTCCCCAAGAAATCACTTTGCAATTCTAAGCATAAAAAAGATTTTACTCGTCTGGTGGCAAGTGGAAGCAGAAAATACGACCATGTTACTCCATTAATGAAACAATTACATTGGCTCCCCATCAGTCAACGCATCATCTATAAAATTGTTCTTATCACGTATAAATCTCTGAATGGCTCAGCTCCACATTACATTAATAATATGCTAAAACTTTACACACCATCAGCAAATTTACGCTCCTCATCCAAAGGATTGCTTACCATACCTTCAGTAAAACTAGTGAACTATGGTGAACGATCGTTCTCATATGCTGCACCGAAACTGTGGAACGAACTGCCAGAGTATATTAGAAAGAGTGAGATCTTGCCTATTTTTAAAACCAGATTAAAGACACATCTTTTTAAACAGTATTACGACTAAGTTATTATTTTAACAAGATTATTAGCAATTTTATAGTATTCTATATAGTTGTTGTTTTAATATTATCAACATACATAACATAAAGTAATTTTATATTCTTAACGAGAAGAGCATATAATTATTTTTTAGTAATTTTATAGTATAGTAATTTTAGTAGTCAATGCATGCACTATGTTCTAACACTTAGTATATATTTTTAACACTTGATGTTAAGCGCTATTGAGCTATGGGAAATGGCGCTATATAAATGAATTATAATAATAATAATAATAATAATATGGCATAGCATACCGAGCATACTAACCTACAATCTATACATATTTAAAGAAGGTCGCACACGACGACGCGGTACTACGCTATATGTCCTGACTCCTATATATATATATATATATATATATATATATATATATATATATATATATATATATATATATATATATATATATATATATATATATATATATATATATATATATATATATATATATACAGTGTGTATCAAAATAATTCGAATCCAAATTTGACAGACTGCTGTTTATAAAATACTAAAGTAAACCATATAATTTTTATATGGCAATAAAGAATAGCCTATTAGGTTTCCGATTATATCGTTCTTATATCAATAAGATCAAAAATGACCAAGAAATCGTGTGTTAAAACTGGTTGCTCGAAATCAAATTTTTCCGCCGATGGGAATTCGAAGTGAGACGTACAAACAAAAGATAATGTAAATTTAATTAATCAACAAACTGTTATGTAGCAAAATTTACATAAATTCGTGTTCATTTAAAGAGATTTAAGCTCCTATGCCTTCAACATGTTGAACGAGAAGAAATTCGCGTTAAATTTGCATTTTAGTTTTCAGTGATGATTAGCATTTCAAAGCCTTGTGGGACTAACTTTGAAAGAAAAAATGTCCAATTCCCATCGGCGGAAAATTGTGATTTTTATGGACTTTTTTTGTCAAAGCAATACTCCTTCATTTACCAACTAAATGACGCGTCCAGCATGTCATTTGAAAAGTAAATAAATGAACTTAACAATGGTGTAGAAACCAACCGAATTTGTCAAACATATTCTGCGTTATTACACGCCAAATTTGGATTCGAATTATTTTGATACACACTGTATAAACAGGCTTACAATGATTTTCAATATATTTTAGTGCAAATTTAATTATTGCAAAATTTAAGCACAAACAAAATCATAACATGACCGTTTAATA